ACTTAAGTGCTCCTGCAGGTCTTCCTAGGCTTCCACTGACTCTTAGTTATCCTATAATCTCTATCATTAGTCCTTTTTACAGGCCCTTCTCTGTCCTTTATTTATCTGAAATCTAATTAACGGGGCCCTATTTTTGGTAGTCAGTGTTTGAAGTGTCACAGCCACTCGCTGCTTTTAGAGCTGTAATTGTCTATACTTTGTGTCTGTTTTGATCCCCGCCTCCATTAGAGTGACTTTGCAGCCTTTCTGGCTGGGCCCTTGGAGAGAAACTCACTGTGCAACCTGCTATCATTTACTTACAAAGCAGAGCCGAGTGGCCAGTCCTTCCCATTTTGTGCTAGACTGCTATATAAGGACATCACAAGAACCCTTCCAACTGACGTCACTGTTACTTATCAAGGTAAGAGGAAGGGTGCCTCAGTGGAGAAATTATATAACAAGCTCTGGGTTACTCAAGTTGAGTGAAACAGGGTAAAATAGGCAGAATACATGAGTTGGACCTCTTGAGACACTTTCTTCTGTTTATATACCATAAAGCAGAAAAATGTGAAGACTATTTTATTTGTTTCTACCAATTTTTCCTCTTCTCTTTGTAAGTAATAAACATAATCATCATCATTTTCCCTCCTACTTTGCTCCTTCCAAATCAGCTAGTGTTCTTTCAGCTTATAATTTGTTTTCATTGAAGACTGCTCTTGAAGAGACAGCTAATGAGGCTGAGTCATAGGGCCAGAGTGGTGCAGAGAGCCAAATGGACATGAAAAGTCATTGTACATTGAGCTTTCTAGAGACTATTCAGTAAATGGGGTTTTTTTCAGAACGGACTGAGATTTTTGTGCATGTGTATGTCTGACTTTGTTTCAGTTAAGTGTACCATAGTAATGTACATGGGCAGTAATGAAAAATAAGAAAATGTTTTAGGAGGCAAGAATTTCGAAGCTGCCACAGGTTTTATACCATAGGTATTTTTTTAATCTTCACTCAAGGACATGCTTATTAATTTTAGAGAGAGGGGAACATTGATGGGAAAGAGAACAATATACCTTCCACATGTGACCCCACCGGGGATCGAACCTGCAGCCTTTCAGTGTACGGGACGATGCTTCAACCAACTGAACCACACCAGTCAGGGCACCATAGGTTTTCGTTTCCCTTCTAAGTTCCCCATCTCAAAATTGGCATTGGTGTAATTAGAGCCAGGCTCCAGACCAAAAAATAAGTTACCTAGGTCCAGACTATCAGTGACGACCCAGGTTCTGATTCTCCCAAGTGCACTGGTGAGATTGACAGAAGCTGTCCTTTTAGGAACGGATGCATTGTCCACCTCCTGGGAAGAACAGCGAGCTTCCCATGAAAACCTGTTCTGTACAAAGCCCCTTCATCAAGTGTTTGCTTCATTTGCAAGAAGAGAAGAAAAGCTGGATATGAACCTGCTCTACTAGAATATTCTTTGCATTGAGAACACATCAAAAGTGAGTAAACAAGTACTGGACACAGTCCCAGGCAAGGTCATGGGACTGAAAACTGTTGAAAGGCTCAGACTCCTTACAATGGAGACAGATACCCACCTCTTCAGGATGCTGAAGGTGCAAGTTTGAGTCTAGACATTGGCAATTTTGGACAATTCTCCACAATTGCCTGGTCAGTTGTTAAAGGCTCAAGACCATCTGTTCTTAGAGACAGTGATTTGTCCATACGTTTTAGTTGAAAATCAGACCTGGTTGTAGGGCAATCGAAGGCATTTTGTGAAAGAGGAGTATATACTATTCAACCAGAGTATTTCTAACTTTTATAAGAGCTTTAATTCCATCTCATTTTCCTAATTGAGACATTTGAAAAGGAAGTTCTTAGAACATTCTGTTCATATGAGATGAATCTTATAGTTAAGAAGGGACATGTGTTTAGTCTTGGGTTTGGAGCAGCATATTCTAGACCGCTGCTTTTGAAGAAGGTGGTGTGAGAAAGTACTATGGATAAAGTAATCAGGGTTCTATGTCTCATTTTGTTTCCTAAAACATCCGGGTAGAAAGCATGGTCAGAAGTCTGCTCATAAGGGGAAGCAGACCTTCCCTCCATCTCTTGGTCTGATAACCAGGGCCTTGGATCTGCTGGCACTTTCTTTGGTTTAGGGGAGTATGTGTAGGGCCAGGTTCTGCCATTTCAGGTCCTGTCCCGCTTTGGCCAGTCACAAATAGGCATCTTTACTACCAAGCCCCACTCACTCTAAAATGGTCACTTCCTAGACCTGGTGACCAGGAAGTAACCGTACAGGTGTGGGAGCACCAGCTAACTCTGGGAGGAGCACGCAGTGGTAAGTCAGTTAGGACCACCATTTAGAAGAAAGCACCTAAAAAGTAAGAGATGTCTTAGTTCAAGCTCTTGTGCCTTCCAGGAAGGTAGTTAGCAAAAAGCACTTCTCTGAGGAGAGGTATTAACAGGATTTTCACAATGATCACATTCAAGTTGAAGAAAACTTTTAATAAAACAGTCTTATTCTTTATCAATACCTGTAAATTCTCTTTTAAAGCAGTAGCAAAGGCGACTGTAGCAAGCGCTCAAAAGGCAAGGCAATATCGGAAAGTGTTTTTTAACAGAAAGTTAAAAATATAAATGTAGATCTGTTGATATATTTTTCTTTCAGAAATAAATTCCCTTTCCCTCCCACCAGGTAAAAGGAAATATTGCACTTTCTTCTCCCATGACTAAGGTGACAGGGGTTCCAGAAGAACCTTTCAAGATTATCAGGACAGGGCCCTTTGACCTAACTCAGATCATACAGAGACAGGTCTCCAGCTGGTGCTCTTCAGAATGAAAAGCACAGCTTTCAAGTTATAGCTGGGAGCAGACATTCACCAGCATAGTGGCCCTGCCACAGCTTCCCCTCCAGCTGAGCTCCCGCCTCTGATACATCCTGCTCATAGTGGCCATGGCCTCTGTGGGGGAAGAAGGGCTGGTCCAGTGCTATGCCTAAGACCCTTACTCTGGGGGAGCTACAGGCACACTGAGGAATAAATAGTATGGCCACCCTCAGAGCTCACGAAATGAAGGCTTGAGGAGATTTTTAAATCTAAAGTCTATGTGAGTGTGCACTTCAGCAATTTGGGACTGTTGGGACTTAGTCATTTGTCCTTTCCCAAGGTCTTTGATTCCAAAAAATACATCCTCCCTGGGGCTAGCAGCCATTCAGGAGTTGTCTACCACCTGGTGGGGCAGGGTCACAGAGGAGCCATTCGGGAAGGCGGCTGGCTTATCACGCCCCTTCAAGAAAAAGGTTAGCAGCTCCCCCTTCCCTTTCACAAAGATGGGCCCCCGCCTCACAAAGCGAAAGCCGTACTCTCGAAGGATGGCTTGTGTTTCTTCTACCACCTGTAGAGGAAGCACAGAGCTTGGGGTTAGACAGTGAGCCTACACCGAGGCTACCCAGATGAGATCTCCATGTGACCCACAGGTCCCAGTCACTCCTTGTACTCCATGCCCCAGAACACAGGTGCGCTTTGCCAAGGGTCCTCCCTTCGCCCAAAGAGAGTCTAGCGCTCTCTCAGATGCCTATGTGACGGCACCACTGTTGGGGAACTTTTACCCTCTGCTCTTGTTCCCTTTGCCCCTTTTGTGGAACTTTCTTGCCAGGCCCAGGTGACACAGCCCAGGATATTATTACCCAGAACTTATTCCTCTAAGTTTTGCAAACGGGGTCAGTGTCTCTTTTCCCTTCTGCTGCTCTGGAGGCATCTTTCCCCACTCTTGCCTTTGCTCTCCCAGCACTGCCGACGTCATGTTTAGGCCAATGAGGAGACAGTGCACGACAGAACACACTATTCCCTGCATCTGAGCACATGGACAGACCTGAATGTTACCCATGACCCCTGTGGACTCCATCCTGCTGGTCACGTTGACTGTATTGCCCCAAATGTCGTAGTGTGGTTTCCGGGCTCCAATGACCCCAGCCAGGACCCCTCCTTTGTTCATGCCTACGGTAGAGGCATAAAGTTCAGCATAGCTTCACCTCTCAGAAGCTACTAGGTTCTCTCACAGAGTTCACCACCTGACCTCTACCACAAAGCTATTCATATTTACCCTGCCTTCACCAGGTACTTGGCAAACTGTTAGCCGCCCCCAATATGCTGATTAACAGTACGGAAGTTGCCAGTTTCTCTCTAACACAGACCTGGCACTTTAAGTCTCCTGTGATTTCATCAGGAGTGAGCCCCCAATTGTCTCCACATTCCCATAAGGCAGTGGTTCTCAACCTTCTGGCCCTTTAAATACAGTTCCTCATGTTGTGACCCAACCATAAAATTATTTTCGTTGCTACTTCATAACTGTAATGTTGCTACTGTTATGAATCGTAATGTAAATATCTGGTCTTAGGCGTCCCCTGTGAAAGGGTCATTCAACCGCCAAAGGCGTTGAGAACCGCTGCCATAGTGGGTAACAGATGACTAATTCTTAACAGACTGGACTGAAGTGAATAAACCCCTCAATAGGCATAGCCAGATTGAGAAGGAAACTATCATTGTAAACACTGTGGGACAGGGATGGCTGGCCATCGGTCAGGTTTCAGCCTGGTCATCTAGAAGAGCCTGGACTAAAGGCCTTCCAGCTCTGAGTATGGGACCCTACCCCGTCTAAATGCGTCAGATCTCTATAAGCCTCTCCTCCTCCTTGGTGATTGCTGGCTCCCCTGTGTCAGAAGGGAGCTAGAGCCTTACCTATGCGCAACATGAAGTTGTTGAAGGACTGGTTGTTGATGTTTGTAAGCGTATCCTTCATGGCTAGTGCAAAGTCAGCCAGATCAGCCAGGTGCTGCCAGCGCTCCTTGTCTGACTTTTCCTCCTGTGCCAGGGAGCAGCAGTGAAAGCATCAGGAGCCACTCTGGGCCCACACCCGCAGCAGCCTATGCCACCCCTTCTTAACATTCTGGAGGTCAGTCCCTTCACCTGGCTGATAAAGGCCTATTCTTCCGTTTTTCTCACAAAGGAGTCGGGACCCTCTTTAGCACCCTCTGTCACTGTGACAGAGACTGGGCAATGGTGGTGGGGAGGACAAATTGTACCCAACCCGTCTGCTGTGTACCTGCTTAGGAGTCACGTCTCTTCACCTAGTCCGAACCTGGTCTTAAACTTGGGATAGTTGTCCTTGTTTTAATTCCTAAACTAGATTATAAGCACTTGAGGGTTAGGCGTGTTTCTTTAACCTCATCCATAATAAGGAGATGGCGGTTGTGATGTTTTAACAACAGCCCTTGAGACGAGGGCCCCAACAGCTTTCCTCACCTCTGGTACCTAAATCGAGCTGGCTTCACAGTTCTGCTTTAACTTAACAAAACCATTCCCCGATGTGGATGTTTTCATGGTTCCATAATTGTGTTGATGGTTCTGTTGCTCAGCGCTTATGAAAGTATAGAAGGTAGTACAGCCACAGTTCCACAAAGCATCTTATGCCTGACTTAAGCCGGGGAACAGTAGTGGACTGCTGTGTGTGTGCTATTATTTCTGCTCATTACACTTTCTCAGTAAACCCAGTTTTAAATTGGCTCGGTCCTAGTGGTGTGTGTCTGTACTGGTGCAAAGTGCCTTTGTACAACAGTGCTTAATGTTGCTCTTGTAACTCCTGGTTTCGCATGTGCTAAGTGTGGGCTGCCTCTTGCCTCAGGAGGCGGAGCCCTATCTCCTCTCTAGCCATTGAGGTGGTTAGGTACCTTGCTGGAGCTGGTAAAGCCGTTGGTGTTGACATCTGGGGTGACTCCGGAAGCTGCCATATAGGTACTGCCAATGGTTTTGATCTTGGTGATGACCCGGAATTTGGGATTGTCTAGAAGCTAAGACCAGTATTAAGGAAGAGAAAACTGTCAGCAGTCAATTGGGATTGATGAGCCAACTAAATGACAGGTTTGCCTGTTTGCAATTCCCCCACAAAACATCCAAGAGATGCTTTTCTATAAAAGCTTTGTTCTGCCTCTTATCTGCCATGTGATCCTAGGCAAACTTCTTGATTTCCTAAGCCTCAGTTTCTACAACCTTAACATTGGGATAAAATTGCCAATCTCCTAGGGAGCTGAACATATATGTAAAAACATTTCTCTTGATGTATGTTACCTAATAAATGTTTAATGAATCTGAATTTGAAGGTAGGAAGAATCAGGAACCTTAGGATCTTGTTTTGGCCAGTCTTTATCTTGTGAAGTTGCAGGTGATTCCCCAGGCTCCCATCTCACCCCCTCAGACCCAACACTCCAAGCAGCTATAGAAGCCCATACATTACAGGGAGGGGATTATATAGGAAAATGTAGCCAGCTAGAGCAGAGGTGGGGAACCTTATCAACTTAAAAATTAGCCTGCTATATTTGGTCAAATGTTTAATTACTTCACCCCTAATGCCTTGGCAGAGCCAGACCAAGTGATTTTGCAGGCCAGACGTTCCCCACCCCTGAGCTAGAGTAACTCCAGTTTCTCTTGGACTTCTGCAGCCTGTCCTGAGAGATCATTTGAAACAAGCTGGCCTTGTGGCAGGAGGAGGGGAGCAAGATGGACACTCACAGAGTCAAAATCTGAGATGATCTCATTGAGGAAGCGCAGACACTCAATGCCACCATTATTGATGCTCTCCTCTGTGTAGAAGTCAGCAAAGTTGGGCAGGGAGGCAAACATGACTCCAATCTCATCATAAGACTGGCTATACAGCTCCTAAAAAGAGGCGGGGCCAAAGCGCTCAAAGACTGGTTAAATACTGTGCTACAGAAACGTCATCTTCCACACCGATAGGTGCACTCAGCTTGTTGGACACACATCTCCCAGATTACCCCAACTCTGAATTGTTAGAAAGCTCTCATCACAAGAGACTAAATTAAAATAAAAAAAAAAAACAGCTTCTCCAGTCCCTGTACAGCCCTAGCTGAGAGAAAGGAGTTGGGAAGTGAGGCAGAAGCAGCATTCTATTTGAGCTCACAGCTGGCAAAAGCGCAGGCTCCAGCCAAAGTTTCGTCTTCTGAAAAGGGCCTCACACCGGTGTGTGTGTCCCCAGAAACAGGGTCTGTAGCAGGCCTGGACTCAGAGGTGCTCCCTGGCAGAAAGCCGGAAGACACACAACCTCCTGGCTCCAGGCCATAGCACGAGGTCACCCCTCACCTCATCTCTCTTCTTGGACCCTAGGAAATGGCGTGCCACATGGTCGGGCAACATGTTGGTGACCAGGGCCTCATTCCAGCGTCGCATCTCGTAGACACGTTCCTTCTGGTCATGGACCTCAATCTTCCACAAGAACAGTGTCCGTGCGAGTTTTTCCACCTGCAGACACATGCAAGGTGTATGTTCTAAACTGGCCATTTGATGGGAAGATGAAAACTGGGAGGAAGATGGCTACATGGCAAGGGAAAGCAAAAGATCACCCAGAGCTGCAGTGAGGAGCCCAGCCTCTGTGGTTACAGCAGAGATCAAAGGCACCTTCTGGATGTGTGGAGTCTCCCGGGATCTAACTAGCTACAGGTCTGTATGGGATCTTCTCCTAGTCCAGAGAGGAGTCCCATTTCCAGCTGGCCACGAAGTGGCTTGGGAAGGCTGTACTTCCCCTGGCCAACCACTGGGTGGTACTTGAGCTAACATGGAGCAGTAAGTCCCTTACTTCCCTGCCTGCTCTTTTTTTCCCTTTTAACCAAACAAAAAACTTCATCAGCTCTTTCCCTTTCTCTTCTGGCTCCGTGGTCAGTGTGTTAATGACCCCCCCAGAGCCTGGGTGAATAAAGATCCATAAGCCCCTGGCTTAGAGAATAGAGCTTTTACCCAGGCTCTGATGCCCCCCCCC